CCACAAATAGTGCAGCAAATTTCCTATGTGCAGCTAAAGCACATATTAGCTTCATGACATCAGGCAACAGCAAAGCAACTTTGGATGCCTCCCGATGTTTAGAATTCTGCTGTAGAAGTGCAAGACACACATCAACTCCCTTCTCATGCAACACAGGGCCAAGAACTTCTACATATTCTCCTAGTAACTCGAGACACTGAATGCAATATTTTTCTCTCAACTGTGCAAGTGATTGAGTATCTGGGATGAAGTACTCTTCAACATCCTCATTAGTTTCGGATTCTTTGCCACTCATATTCTCTGTTATAGTATTGTCGCATATAGAAATCCTACCACCAACAAAAGAAAAACATTATATAAAAATTAATGTTGACATTTGTTCATGAATGTAATCAGATCTTAAAAGTTACCAATGTACCATACTTGTAAATTATATTCTGACATACCTTGAAACTTCAACTGCAGATGCAGCCTCGATAACAGTTGATGCAGCTCTTGAAGCAGCCAAAAAAGCAGCTTCTTCATCATTAGAGGATTTATATTCCTGAAAATAAATGCAAAAGTGAACTATCTTAGCATCAAGTTTAAACTATAAAGACAACCCAATCACACAGACATACATATAAGCACTAAGTACACTTTTGGCTCTGGGAGAAAAAAAATAAATGAACCCAAGCATACCTCTGAAGCTGCAGTTTTTACAAGATCAGCAGCAGCATCCCCAGCTGCTTGCACAGCTTCTTCAGGTGCATTGGCTGATCTAGCTTCAGCTTCAGCAGCTTGAACTGCTTTTCGGACAAGATCGGTTATGTCTTTACTTCCAATTCGGCACTCTTGGAAACAATCATCATTATCCTCTCTTTCAAAAGAAGAAGGGGACCTACCAAGGGTCTTCTTAGAATCAGCCACCCTCCTAATGTCAGCATTCCTCAATATGCTTCTATCTCTAACACTCCGTCCCAGTCCTAATCGACTACCAGAACCAGGAGATGACAAAATGGGATCACTTTCTACAGTCCCTTCATTGATCCTTCCTTTCCCTCTAGATCTCCCCCATCCACGGTTTGCACGCCGCCTCGAAGAGTCATCCCTAACATTGTCGTCATGCTCACCATATTTTATCCTTCCATCACGTATATCTCTACAACGCCATCTATCCTCTCCATCAGAATCTACCTCGCGGACATCAGCACCTTCACCAAACTCATCGGGTGGTTCACCATCTATCCAAGATCCATCTGGGCAAGTTTGTCCACTAATGCTTCTATCCGGACCCCTTTCAAGAGTTACATCATCTAAAGATCTCTCGTCAATCTTCCTAGTATCATCCAAATGATTAGATTCCAGGAGCTGGCGAAATCTTCCGCGACCATCATCTCTACCTCTTCCTGAAGTATTTGCAGATGCATGCCTACTCTCTGTTATATGAGTAACATCTTTCTGGCTGCTACTGGTCTCTCCCAGCACTCGTAAACGAAGATAACGCATAAGCTTAGCAGACAAGCCAGATGTCAATACATCTTCCACTATTTGACCTCCACTGCAATCATTCCAACATTGATAAGAAAATAAAATAAATAAATGAGAACTATAAAAAATAGGAATAAGCAAGATAACCCCCCAAGATCAATAGAAGCAAATGATTAAAATTTAAAGCCCAGCATTAAGCCAACATTAGAGGGAAAAATCTAAAAATAGTCTACAGATTGAGCAGCATAGCATACCCGACCAAACACACAGCAAGGAGTCCAGTAGAATAAGTTTTCAACATTTCAGAATCTGATGCCTCCCTCCTGTCAGGATTATGCTTCAGATTCTGCTCTTCAGCAGACACCCTAGGGTTATCATCCATCGCCCAATTTTTTATGTTTTCCATGACGGATTCTTCAAAAACATGAGGATACTGTCCATTTACACTTCATCAGATCAATTGAACAACACAAGGACGTCGTTAAAAAAAAAAAAAAAAGGGGAAAGGAAATCTCACAATCCAAGTTAGTGAACAGCATAGGAGAAGCCTACAAGCAGCAGCTTGAATGGAAGTCGAGTATCTTGTTTCTAAAAGAAACTTCGACGATATCAACTCAAAGAACTCATCATTTTCCTGCAAAAACAAAAGAGCGAAAGTACTATCTCAATAATTTAACATGAAAAATCGCCTTAAGAAGAAACTCTACATCCAAACAAACAACAAGGATCACGTGGGGACAAGAAAATACCCGGATTAAGCCGCCAAGGCGGCCAATGATATGCGCAGCACGAGCATTGCTCGAAGAAGAATGACCATTCTCGTCCATGTATCTACATTGCAAAAACAAATTATCCATAAAAACCGGAAGGAATAATTCCAAGAGAAATCAATAACTAAGAAATTATTCCAACAAGTGATAGGGCACAGTATTCAGAATCAAATCTAAAACCACGCACGTAGATGACATAAAATCGACATTCATCTAAACAACCGAGTTTACGTATACGTACATATATTAACACCTGAGAAATTATTCCAAAAGAAATCAAATAAAAAACGAGCGTGCGTGCCCGCGAATCCATGCGTAAAATAAACCGTTAAAAAAAAAACAAACGAAGACAACAAATATACCGTGACTCTTGCGTTTCGAGAATGGAAGCAAGGGCGTGGAGAACGGTGGCTTTAGGGTTATCAGGTGCGGAAGTGATCTTATCCATGAGTTTGTTAACCTTTGCAATCAATTCCTCTTCTTCCTTCTTAGAATCCTCCTCTTCATCCCGCGGCGGTGTAGCGTGATTCGCCTGATCCTCCATCAGCGACACTGAGACGAGATAATCGTATGATAATAGATGGTGTGATTTGATTAGGTTATTTTCTTTTTCTGTGTGTGTGTTTTTAATATGAATATGTATCTATATTACGGACTAGGGATATGAGCGTGAGCAGTTTTGAGTTGCACAGGTGAGAGCGAAAGAGAGGCATAAATGAAGAAAAAGAGAAAGAAAGACAGTGAGAAAGGGCACCGCACAAACAAACACCAACACCAACGCGATGATGGATCGGAAGCTTCGGGAGATATCCGACCCAGTAGCATAACCCTACTTGTGCCCATTTCTTTTAAGGCCCAATGTAGTAGACCCAACAACAGAAATGGCCCAAATATTATATTTTTACGACCCAACAGGTATGTTTTTCCAATTTAAATTCATAAGCATCAGTATCAGGCATCAATTACTATTATTTAATAGAATCTACATGTTTAAAAAATATAATAATTTTTTAATAAAAGAAACAGTTTTCTATTTTTTATGCGTTTGTCTAGATTTTTTTAACAAAAAGTAGTTTTTTTTTTAAGAAGCAATTCTTATTTATTTTGTAAAAAATCATTTTTTCAAAAATCAAATTTTTGATAATATTTTTTAAATTCTAAACAAACTGATATGTTACTATTAATAGAATAAAGTTTCTGCTGGAACACTGCCATTTATTATTAAAACACGTGTCATGTTATTATCGAATTTGTTCCGTCCTACTTTTCATCTCCCATTTCTAAAGTCGACTATTCTTTTTTTTGTTGAATTGGTCCAACACTCACGAACACTTAGCCACAATAAAAGTGGGCAAACCCAACACCCGATCCATATTCAAAGATTTTGCACGGGTTAAAAAAAAGGTAAAAACATATACTATTAAGAAGTTCACTTTTAAGTTTTACGGTGCATTTCATGCACTTCAAGGATAAGACAATAAAAATAATATAGGATAAATTATGGAGAAATTGTTCGAACTTTTTGTTTTGTATATATATTTTTTAAAATAACAAACAACATAAATAAAATAATATCAAATTTATTATAATATTATCTTTTATATTGATTATCATAATATATTATTATCATCTTAATTGAAATGATAATAACATTAATGATAATAATAATAATAATTGTAATAATAATAATCACAATAATAAAATCATGATAATGATAAAAATAATGATAATAACCAATAACAATAATAATCAATAGTAATATAGTGATAAAAGATAATAATAATAATAATAATAATAATAATAAGTAGTGATGATAATTTTTTATATTTATTATTTTATTTTATGACTTTTGTAAATAAAAATGAAATAATTATATTTATCATATTTAACACCATAATTTTTTTAGAAAATCTAACTGATATTTATGTTTCTCATCATCAATGTTGTCCATAATCGAACCTGACCAACTAACTATGTTGAAAAAATTAAGAAAACAAATTTTAATGAGTTGAAATGAGATGAAAAGTCTGGACCCTATAGAGTTATAGGCTTCAATAAAATAATCACTATCCTTAATTTAATGGTTGGGTGAGGAAGAGTTAGGGTAGTTAGAAACATGAGAACTTATGTTCAATTCTCGATCATTTTTATAATCTTTTCAATCTTAAAAAAAAAAAAAAAAAATAGGCTTCAATAAAATACATATCGGCAAGCGATGAGAGAAAAAGGAAAATTCATACGATATTGTAGATGGTTGCTCGTGAGAAAGACAGTCACAAGCCCCAAGACAATGAAAACCCGCAACCAATGAAGATCCAAAAAACTACATTGAAATCGTCTTCTCTTCATTTCCATTCTGTCACATAGTCACTCTCAACAAATCCCCCAACCTATGATTCATTGTCACCTCATTATAAATCTCCCGATAGAAACCCAAGTGCCCCCACCGTACATTTGTTTCCAAACCCGAGCCATAAAACTTAGTATTTCACACCATTTTTGCAACATCATTTTGTGAAGAACAATTACATGTATCAAAATTAAATTCCTATAGAAAGAGAAATAAACAAATATATAAATAAAAAATATTTTTCATGTATTATCATTATAAAAAAAAATTCACAATGTCAGCAAATTAATTCAGATATGACTTTTAAATTATTTGAAAAGCCAATAATCTTTTTTTGGTTACCCAAGTTATCCCCCAACCTAGAGCTATACATCATGTTGATAAACGTCAATAATCTTACTAATCTATGATTAGACGAGAATATTTTTTTCCATCAAGATTTTAATTAATGTTGGCAATGAAGATCGAAATACCAGTCAAAAAGCAAGCAAATCAAAACCAAAGATTACAAAATAGCAAAAGTACTAAAAAACATAGCACTGTTGTTAGAGATCCAACTCTTGCATGTAACTCCGCAGAATCTGTCTCGATCATGATTCTGAATTTGCAATCTCCAACGGAAGGATCCTTGTCAGTGACCATAGAAAGCCCCGGGAATTTGCATGCACTATCCATCTGGTCATTAATCTGGTAGTAGCTATTAAACGCATAAGAAATGTTACCATGAACATCCAAATTGGCACACGAAGTTCCATAGCCAAGACTAGTGCAATCAGCATTTTGACATGCATATGCCACACTAGGTGCGACTTGGTCATCGTTAAGGTTTGCAGAGGGTTTCAAAACGCACCATTTTTTAGCCAAATGATCAACACCACTAGCCCCTACTAACCCATTACCACGTGCTGACCCAAGATTAAGTTGGTACTTGGGTTGGCCATCAAAGTAAAACAACCCCCAATGACGCTCAAAGTTCCCTGGCTGAATGCTTTTGCTATCTTCATCTATGAAACTAAACAAATAAGCATCTATAGGACCAGGCCTCATTGGGGTCCCTTTTCCAGACATATAACGTGACATGAAACCTTGATTAAAACGTTGTGCATATTGAAGGTTTGCATTTCGGTCCCCATCTGTTGGCCAACCAATTTCCCCCACAATTATGGGCAAGTTTCCAAACCCATTCTTCTGCAGGGCCCACACTAGAGTGTCGTGGTTGGCATCAAACACGTTGTCATAGGTCCTTCCGTTGTCATTTATGGCGGGCTGGTAGCCATTAAAAAAGGCGTAGTCAACAGGGAAATTGGGGTCTGAGTAGAGGCTGATGAAAGGGTAAATGTTCACTGTGAAGGGAGCTCCATTGTCGTTCAAGAACTTGACAATCTGCAGCATGACATTGTTGATGTCAGGTCTGAAACCACCGTCGGATGGATTTTCTGAGGAGCTTTGATAGACGTCGGCGTTTAAGGGAACGGTTACTTTAACACGGTTGCTTAAACCGGATTTTGTGAGAGCTGCCTGGATGTTTTGGAGAGCTGGAAGAGTTGTGGTTTCGTAGGTGCCGTTGTATGTTGACAAGAATGGTTCATTCCCCACTGCAACGTACCTTGCAAAAACCACAAGAAAATGAAGAAACAATGTGTAAGAAAAAAACAAGTGTAGGCATTTGCAGCATACGCTCGTTGAGTTTATAAGCAGTGAACGTGAGAACACGTGGATTAGATCTACAATGCATTAGTTAGATCAATTAACAGAAAGTTGCTATTCTGTTTCCTTCAATTCCAATAAATCACCCTGAGTTTTAACCACATGCACTTTGAGCCTCACTGATGAGTTTTTAAATTTTAACCATGTTTACTTTTAAGTCCTCATTTCAACAAATGCTGGGAACAGCTATAACACAAAGTTACAAACCAACAAGAATGTTGCATCATATTTGAATCACACCCTCACGTGGCTAAAATCGATTCATTGCAAGTGATTGAAATTATTATCAACAATAACAATCAAATGTGGATCTAGAATGATCAATATTTAATCACCATTGAGCTCTACTAATTACTAAATTGATCATAAATTTGAATCACACATAAGGGAAACAACTAATGCTTACAATGATAGGGTTGTTTAGCAGAGAAGGAAAATCTAGTTTTTTCCCAATTGACAGAGTCAGGAATGAATAGAAATCGATATCATATGTGGACTCAAATTATAATACGTAGGAATCATACTGCAGCAGATGCAGAGATCACATGTTACCAAATGAGTAGTTGAACACAAACTATAATTGCACAATCTATTCATACAAACATTGTTTGGAAATTTGTGAAGGAACAAGTGTAAGCTACATATTTTTGCAGATATTATCAATAGAATGCTATTCAGCAATGCAGAGAACAAAAAACAAGGACGGTAATTATAAGTCGATAGAAACAATTTTTCCTTCCATTAACAGTGGAATAATAATCTCTTTTAAGAAAAATAATCACGAATGGGCTTCTGGCATTGAGAACATACAAGGAAAAGCATTCAGATAAAATATGAATTGTTCCACTTATAATCTTGATTCTTGATAGATGCACCTAAGCATAACCTTCCAAATCCAAAGCATTCGGTGAAAGAAGAGGAGCATAACTTTCGATGTTGGGGAAACCTTAATTGCATACAAGAACAATATATGAATGGCATTTCAACTTTCGGCAGGAATATAGTCGGACCAATTAGTCAGCTAAGGGTGACATTATTTTCTGATATAAGAGATTGGGAATTTAAAAAACCTCACAAGGGGCACAATTTCACTCCAAGTACGTTATCAATAAATGGAGTTCTCTTAGATCAGCATATATGAGAACTACGGGGAATTTGTTAAACAGTAGAAAAGTTGGAAGATTAGACATTGAACAATTTCCCAAACATAATAAGTAATTTTTTTTTTTATCAAACAGAATAAGTAAATGTAAAAGGAAGACAGGTTAGATGGACCATGATAAAGCAGAAGCTGAACCCCTTAAACAAATGCATTTCATTGCATATTCCACTATGAATTAATATGGGAAAGACACTTATTTTCCATTCACTATAAGTCTCTTCTGCTCCGGCTGCAATGCTTTCTTCAAACATTTACACTACCACTACTCCTCAAACTCTTTGCATCAGAGAGCACAGTCCTTTAATGTTCAGAAGAAATATCCAAAGCAAAAGAATTACACGAAATTTATTTTTTTATAATCTTCCACCAAACGCCTAGCATAGAGAAACCATGTATTTTCACAGCATCAAAAAATGTCAGTGCTAAATATAATAAGATGTAGAGCATGCAGTATATTCAACTTCACATCTTATATATCTAATTCTCTATATTTGTTCTTTTCTATTGCTAATATTAGGCTAATTTGAAGTAGAGGATCATATGTGAAGTTGTGAACTTGTATAACAAGTAGACATGTATATCTTCCATGATGATAGGATGACATTGCATTTTTAAGGGTGAAAAAACCTAGGGTACGAAGAACACAGCAAAGAAGAAAAAGAACAAATATTCACAGCATTTAGTCATGCAATAGCAGAAGAACCAGAACATCAAGCAGAAGTGCCAACAGAATGCAAGCTGAGTTAAAAGCCACAGGGATTGTCCTTATAGAATATTGTGTGGAAGTAACAAATTCTTAGCCAGCGTATTTTTTCAGAATTCAACAACAAAAGCTGTTTAGAATTTCCTACTTTGCATCTCTTAAGATTAGGCATAATATGCAAACTTAACAGTAACTTAGAAATTTGGATTCTCAAGAAATTCTCGGTCCCAATCTAACATGCATTCTCAACCGCACCACAATTCCAAGTTGTCACATAACAATATTGTTTTCCATTCACATTTCTAAAGAAACTCGTTTGGTTTATGAACACCCATTTCATCAATGAAAAACTAAGCCAAGCACCAAAAGCAGTGGCAATTAAAAGCATAGCTTCAACTCAAAGCTATGTGCCTGCAAAAGCCAAGTAGAATACTAAAATCTAAGGGGTGTGTCATGTGTGTGTGTACCTGATATCCACTCCACCAGAAGAGACATGTTTGGAAACATTCTTGGAAACCCATTTTTCAGCTGCTTCCACACTGTTAGCCAGCGAATAAAGCATGTCATTCGGAATCCCCACCATGACCTGTATCCCAGACTTCTTGAGAGCATCCAAGATACCGGCATCAGCATCAAAAAGCTTAACCTTCTGAATGCCATTGTCCTTCAGCATTTTCACCACCTTAGACGGTGACAAAGGGTGTGTGCACTGTGTCCCCCAATTCACACCAATCCCACTCACTGACCCCACCAACACCAACCCAAACAACACAACAACAACACCACCACACCTACCCAACTCCATAAGCTGGTTCGTCAGTGTAAGCCAAATCTAAAGCTCAGAGTTTGTTGATCTAAAAAAGCACAGTGAAAAATAATAAGTCAGGGTGAAGAGTTATATAATGTAATATAATAATAAAATAAACATTGGGACAGCTATACCAATTGAACGAGCTCTTGTGTTGGGAAGTATAACAAATTAACAAGGTTTTGAGCTACAGTAAGTGCAAAGTGGATCCTAAGGATATGTTGCGTTAAGTACAGAGAACCGGAGGAATGAGGAGTGACCGAGACACAAGTTATGTGGTGGAGAATCTTTTTCTTTTTTTTTTTTTTTTTTTTTTTCAGCTGATATAAGCAGGCAAAGGAACAGTCAACAGTGTAACAAAAAAAAAAAAAAAAAGCAACGTTATAGGGTGCTGTCCGTGTCAGACTTTTTTCAAAACATCTCGAAAATCACATGCCTGAGTTGCATTTTATGGGGAAAATGTTTCGACGGATATTTTGAAGTTCTCGTACTATTTTTAAATAAAATTGGAAAGATAAAAAAAGATACTATTTTTTAAAATGTTTTTAGTCATTAAAATAAGAGTAAATTTTTTTTATTTTTTAAATTTAAAATTATTATTTTTAGTCTCTATAATTTTTAAAAATTTTGATTTAATCTTTTAAGTTACTAACATATTTAAAAATAATAAATTAAAATAATTATACATCATACTTATACCTAAATTTAATATAATATTTTCACTAATAAAAATAGTAAGATATCAATAAATAAATTTTATACGATAACATTTGATAGATTTTTTGATAAAATTTAAAAATTAAAGTAAATTTTTTAAAATTATAAGATTAAAAAAAATTAATTTTAAATTTAAAGAATTAAAAATAAATTTATGATTGAAAATATATTTAAATCCTTTTTTACCATGGTGTTAACAAAAATATCTACTAACTTTTTAAAAAAAAATAGTCTTTTTTGATACTTAAAACTTAAAGATCAATTTCAACATCAATTGGACCAATGAATATTGATATACTATTTATTCTAATTATAAGTAATATAATATAAATTATATATAAAAAAAATATTAATATAATTATTTTTAATTAATTTTATCATAAATTCAAGTCTTAATCTAATATATGTCTTTTATTTTAAGTAATTGTAATATTTAATGTTAGTAATAAATGAATCAATAAAAAAATAAAGTTAATAATAAATGATAAATATAAAAAAATTAATCTTAAGTAACTATAAAAATTAATGATTATTATTTATAATTAAAATTATTTTTTTATTTATTACTTATAATTAAGATGAAAGATAATATTATTACGTACCGTAGATTAGTCGAGTAATTCTTACTGATCATATTTTTATTTTATAAATATTTAAATAAAAGTAATGTATTTACTTTTTTGAAATATAAAATATTTAGACTTATATATATTTTTAGTCCATATAAAATAAATAATTTTATATTTTGATCTCTCATTCAATTTTTTTTTTCATTTTTTCAAATTTTGTAAACATTGTTTTCAATTTATGTAAAATGAGAAAAAAAATATTTTGATCTCTTTAGAATATTTTTGTATGATTTTTGTTCATATAAAATTTAAAGGTATTAATTTTTGTCCCTAAATATTATTTTAAGATATATAAATAATATTTATTTTAAAAATTTATATAATTTGTAAAAGTGTAACATACTAAAAGTATTACATACAGATGTGAATATCACTTGATATTATTACTTAACTTATTAATAAAAAAATATTATAGAAAAAACAATTAACATTTACAATAATAACGTTTTTAATTAAAAATATTAAAAAAAAACATTTGCAATAAATATTATTAAAAAAATTATGGTGAAGTGTATTAATAACGTTTTTAATAAAAAAAAATTATAAAAACAATAACTAGCATTTGCAATAATAAACTGATAAAAAAATAATTTTTTAATAAATAATACTTTTTAACTAATATTTTAATATACTAATTAGCATTTGCAATATATTGGTTGTTGGAAACATTATATGACTTAATTTAACCCTTAAAAAATATTAAATAATCTTTTAAGATTACAAACATGAATAATTTTGATCCTTGTGCTATTTTTCTTTTATATTTTTAGCACGTATTTAATTGTTAAAAACATGAACCTGTGTAGTTTCTTTTTATTTTTAATATCAATAACTCAAATTAATTCCAAAAATTTAATTAAAACATTTTAACTTATAATCTTAAATAAGTATTTGATATTTTTTCTTTAAAGCATATAATTACATGGGCTCATGGAATGATTTTTTATTGTCGCGAAACAAAGTTCACATTATATTCCAGAAAGTGCTTAATCAATACTCGTTGTCGTGTCTGAGACGTGTACCTTCCTTCATTCCGGAGTCTTGTGATGCCTTATGCCAGAATCCAGATAACATTTGCCCCAACCCCCTCCAAGTACTAACTCTCAAGTCTCAAGTTTCTGCTTCGAACTTTTTTTTTTTCCCTCTTAAATTATACTATATTTATTTATGAACAACGTGCTTTTGCAATTTAAGTAATTAGATTGAACTTTGAAGCATAGAGTATAGAATAACTGAGAAAGAGAGAAGAATCATGAAGGTAGAAGCTAGATGATATTCGAAAGGTATTTATAATAATGTTTAAGGCTTAACCGCTTAAGCATATAGTCATGGTTCGATATCCCTATTCCAATATCAATGACTCGATGTATGATCAATCCCTTAATAAACAGATCATAAAAAGAATATGTTTCTCTTGGACAACACATAACCTAAAAACATTAGCAGTAATAAGAGTTGACTCCTCCTCCTTGGTTATATTTCTCTAGTGCCAAAATGATTTCACTCTAAGTACTATTTTAATTCTTATGAATGAATTTATATTTTGCGAATATTCTTAAGAAAATAACAAAAATATAAATGATAGCATATTTTAAAATTCAAATAAAGGTGTTTAAAAGACGAGAAGAACTTTTACTTTATTAATTATTTGCTTAATGTAATTTAAAATAAAAAATTAACTATTTAAATATTGTTTAAGTATTCTCCTTCTTAACATATTTATAAAGACTTTTAAAGGATAAAATTATCACAATTCAATTAGTATCAATAAATATAATATCTCAATTATAGTGATTTCTTCCTAAAAATGAAAACGAACATACAATCGAAACAAATATTAAATAATATTATTTATAAACAACAAATTGATTTTTTTAATCCTAATTATAAATAATTATTATTATTTTTAAAAGTTATTTATGAAAAAATTATATAATTTCCTTTTTTTATGCATTCACCTAAACAATAAATATAATAACTATTTAAAATTTAAATTAAAGTATAATGATATATCAGTATAATAACATATGAAGACTTGTTGGTTAATACAAAAGTTCATTATTTTAAGTCTTATGGTTAAGAGAGGTCAAATTTTTTTATATTTATTTTACAAATATAATACATAAAAATAACTAACAATAGGATAATAAGACCTTTTAAGCAAATCATTTTTTATTTAGCTAATTAAAAAAATATGAGATAGTAATTTTAATTTATTTTTAAAATAATATAAAAAAATATCATACAATTATATAATATTTTTAAATTTTTGACTCTTCTCAACCATGAGTCCTAAAGCACTACACTTCTGGACTAACCAACAAATTTGCCCTGTTTATTATAATTAAATTTAAATTTTAATAAAAATACAACAATGTTGATCGAAAATAATAAGTTTACACTTATAATAGAAAAACTGACAAACTGATATAATATAAAATTATAAGAAATCAATGTATAAAAATTATAAATTAATATAAATAATTAAATTATATTTTTATTAGAAGATTATTAATAAAGCTAAAACTCTAATTTAGTCTTTTATAATGTTTTAAAGTTTCAATTTAGTCTCACTTTAATTTTTGGGTTCAATTTAGTCACACCTATTAAAAATGTTAGCAATGTTTTGCCTTCCGTCTCAATTTCTCAAACGTCGTGTCGTTTAGGAGTATCCATGTGATTGACAATTACGGGCGTAATTAAAAATTACGAGCGTGATTGAGAATCACGGGCATAATTTTCACGGTTCTTACTTAGCAAATTTTTTTATATAATTCACATGGTGGGAATTATGGGCGTGATTCTCATAGTTCTTGAATGACATTTGAGAAATTTAGACGGAAGACAACTATTATTGATATTTTTGACAAATAAAACTAAATTGAACTTAAAAATTAAAGTAAGATTAAATTAAAATTTTAAAATATTATAAATGATCAAACTTTAGCGACTGGATAAATATTTTTTAAACGGTACTAATTCAACCAGTTTTCTCTGCTAGAAGCCCACTGGACAAGACCTATGATACAGCTCAATGGACAATGAAACTAGAAATGTACCTATTACCATAACCCAAACGAGTAATCAAGAAATCCAAATAGCTCGTAGACTTCATTTACCCTTTATTTGGTACCTTAGAAATAGAGACAAAATGAGTGAGAAAAGTAAAAATGAGAAAATGAAAATAAATTTGATTGTTTGATAAATTAGGGGTGAGAAATATAAAGGTATAACCCACTACCTTTTATTTTTACCATAAAGTAAACTGTGCAGAAATAAACAGGAAAAGTGCATACAATGTTACAGTTTTCTCTTTCTTGACGATTTTAAAACCCACGAATTGTATTTTTATTTTTTAAAATATTTTTAGCGGTTTAGAAGTCCCATACTCATTTTTTAACAAATATCAGTGGTCAGGAAACTGTCACAAATTATTAAAAAGCTGAATTTTCTCTCTACAAACAAGGGGCTAAACCCCGAAAAATCTATTAGCTAGCTAAGAAAAGAACACTCCCGTTAAGAAAACACATTTTGACATCTTTATCTAACTTTTATGGGTCTCTGAACTTAATTTTAGTTCTTAATTTATTTTATGAATTTTATATTTTATTAAAGTAAAAACATTACACACAAAAAAAAAAAAGTATATGTACAATAATCTGTTCAAAGCAAAAGTATAAATTCTAGGTCAATCATTCATCCTCTATACAATAATTACACAAAAATAGTATAAAAAATAATCAATGTCATCATTCGTCAGATGACTTCCACAATACCTCTACTCTCATACTAGGTATAATTATTACAATCCAATCATGTTAAAATAAACAATAATAAACTAAAGTTCAAAAAGAGTACAAGTCAAAGCAAGTATAAGAATAAAATATTTATACTAATCAACCAAATGAAAACCAAGCAATCCCTCTTGGCTCAAACCATACACCAATCAACAC